AATAATAATAATAATAATAAACTGCAGGACAATTTCCAAGATAAGTGTCTTAGTTTGATTTAAGACATTAATATGCTTAATTAGTATAATATATACTAAACACATGTAGATATAGGTATAGGGTGGCTAAATTATTATTGCTGCTACCACTTAATCAACATCACCTTCCAGTCTAAACATATTATTGTAGTTTCATCTTTTTCCAGAAAGATTAGAGCCCTCCTATTTTCTTTTATTTTTTGCTATTTAGTTTATATTTTTTAGGCAACTTATAAAGGGTAAGGTTAGGTTGGGGCTCATGGTTTCCAAATGGGTGAAATGTTTGCAAATGCTGGACCTTGATAGGAGATGCTTCTCTGTTATGGAATGCTATGGAAGTTATGAAACAGAAAATGATGGAAATGTCAATGTATTCATGAAAGGCTCAATGAGGATATTGGTTGTCATTTTTGTAAGGTGCTTGCATCGAGGAGGGTAAGCTGTTCACTTAATGACTCGAAAACATTACCCTCTGATCTGTTCATTTACAATACTGTTGTCATGCATTACACACTTAACAGAATTAGGAAGTGTTAACACCAGAAACGAAGAGAGTACGCATCTCAAACTTACCTGGAAAGTATACAAACTCAAAATTTTCCAGTTTTCTTGTCTGAAAGTGTAGACTTGTGGTGTTTTTTGCATGCCCTGAAGTCCCTGTGGACTTGCTCAAATGTCAAAGGATATGGTGTTGTTTCAGCAGGATGGGAGAAGACTAGAATTGGTCATGCACATTTCTCTACAATTTGGAGGATAGACCAGCAATCAGCTGACAAGATTGTAGGTGCTCTGGTTTTTCCTTTTCCCATTTGATCAGTTGAATTCAACTCAAGCATTGGGTGGTGAGAAACTCAGAAGTGCAAGCTGACTCAAGCTTTTCAAATGTTCATCTGTGAAAACGGAGGAACATTTTGTAGTGTGATGGGGTTGGCTGTATGTAATTCCTTGACGACATACCAACACAAAAATATTGGCATGTTTTGAACTTAAAATGAAAATATAGCAGGAATACTAACTATAATTTATGTACTAGCATTCAACTCTCTTAAGAAAATCTAAAATTGTAAATTTGTATAAGTTTTAAAAGTTAAATCTCACAATAATTTAATTTTGAATACATCTTAATAATAATTTACTTAAATGGTGGAAAAGATAATCCCTTCTTAACCTTTTTAGTATCAGTTGTGGTAATAAAAGAACATATAAAAATTCTCAAATGGTAATTTTTTATAACAATTTTTCACAGCGCATTTCAAATGTAATTTTTCAATTGCAATAATAATGTCAAACTAAACATCACTTAAACGTGTGTAAATCAATCACCATGTTAATAAAATTTGATTGGGAAAAAGAAATACAAATTTTTTTATAATAATTAAAAATTGCTATTGACAAGAGACTAATGATAAGTGTCACAAATTTACATTTTCAACTCTAAATATATGATTATTAAGTGAAAAAAAAGTTTTTATTTATAAATTCAAAATCAATCTTATTTCTCATTAGTGTGAAATATGTGATTAAAAATACGTATAGATGATTATAGAATCTAAAAATTAATTATAACATACAAGAATCATGTGTTTGAAAAATTTATTAATTAAGTGACAAATAGTTAATTTAATTCTATTACTAACTAATTAAGATGATGATTAGTTGTTATAAATGCAAGATTAGAGACATAAGAATATATAGTTTCTCAAATTCTATAAAGCTGAATTGATGGAATGTAATACAATCAATAGCCAAAATTCTCAAATTCCCCAATCTTGATTTTGATTCAATTTTCATTTTCACTCTAAAATTGATATGATATCAAAGCAGGTTTCAATTTTAAACTTGTGTAGATTAAAATCTCCAACAGGGTTGAGTATTATTAGCAAAATTAAGTTTAAAATACACTAAAATTATATTTTCCTTAAATCTTTCTACTGAATGGAACAAAAAATTGTACTCCCCGTGCGGGCCCATTTCTGCACGTATGGTCGGAGTATATATATTTTTGCCTGTTCACCTTACGGTGCGTTTCCCAAAGGGCAACAATGGAGATCAAATCGGAGGTTTCTACTCTCCTTGAGGAAGAGAAAAGGGACAGGCCAGAAGAAGAAGAAGAGGATATCGTTTGCTTGGACGAAGCTTTCTTCATCAATGACAAGTATTTCCACACCCTTTCTCTCTTACTCTCTCTAAAAAATCTCTGTCTCTCTGTTTTTGATTCATACAATTCAAAAAAAAAAAAAACAAGTTGACTGTTAATGTCTGCAGTTACCAGTTAACTACTTACACATTTGGGTCTCATGTGCTTCAGCTCTTTTGTCTCCAATCAGCTTCTAGTAAGTTTCTTTTTTTCTTGTTTTAGTTAATGACAACCCCATTTTTCTGTTCGTAAAGATACGCTGAGTTGGCTAATCAAAGTTCCTTTATGTTCTTCGAAAAGATTCAATATTGGTTGTGGGATTCTCTACTTTGTTCGCTTTAGTATCCTAACTCTTTGAAAAAACAAAAACCCCATAAAGGCTTTGTATATGTCGAAGAATTTTGATATGTTCCTGTTAAAGTCGTTTTAAAATTGAACTAATAATTTCTTCATGTTATCTTTTAAGTATCATTCACGTGACTTGTCTTTGGTCATTGTTCTGATAGAAGCAGAGACTGGGATAAATGCCCGTGGAGATGGTCTTAGTTTAGTTTCTAGGAACCAGGGTTATTACTTAACCAATTATGTTCATTACTAAGTAATTTGCATGAATAACTAGATTGGAGGTAAAGTGTTGGGACCAAAGGAAATAAAAGAAACAAGACAAAACTCTTTAGTGCCCAAGTATTCTACTCTTTTCATCTTAAAGGGAAATTCTATTCTGAATTTAACGTTTTCCTTGACTTTATCATTCACATTTGATCTAACATTACACTAATTCTATGGCACTTCCCCATATCTTCCATTTGCAATTTCTCATCGATATTAAAACCAAAATAACCCACTTGATGTGTCATGATTTGGACATTGTACTTGTGGCTAAAGGCTTCTGATTCTATGTCATATGCATGCTAAGAATCATTTATTCTATTTCTTAATATATTGTGCGTTTTTTTTTTTGAATTTTTTGGTCTAACAGTTGCTTTGAAATTGTATATAAGTTACTAACTATATGTGAAACAGCTGATTTTGATTTGACAGGACAATTGGTATGGCCTGGTGCGATGCTTTTGAATGATTATCTCTCTAAAAATGCTGAGATGCTTCAAGGATGTTCCATAATTGAATTAGGCTCTGGTGTAGGTGAGTCATAGTCTAATACATTTTACTCTTTCATTTTTCATTTCCAAGGCACTAATCATTAATTATTAAGGCGTTGCATTTGGCTGTTAGTTAACAACCTGAATCTGATTTCTTGCTTGTATGTGCTTAGCCCTTTGAACAATCCTCTGTTGTGGTGCTTAAAACTGGTAGATTTTTGTTGCTTCGAGGAGATGGATGGAAGGGTGATAGTATATAATTTGTTAGTCCCCATGCACCCCACTTTGGCAGTCTTTATTGATTTGGAGCATGAATGTTTATGTGCATGTATAGTTTGTATGTATATCTGCTGTCATGCTGATATTTTGGTTGAAGAGAAAAGGGGCCCAGGGGTTTGTTCATTGAGCTGTCTTTCTACTTAAAGATTTTTCTCATCCAAAACAAGATGATTAGGGTTGATGACAAATGCTCAATGCATCTTCATGGTTTAGCTGGTTGATGAAGCTTGATGTATTGGTTAGGTCTTGTCATATTTTTTTGCTTGCTTTCTGAAATAATAGGATGAAAGAGTTTAGGCAGTCCTATGTGTTTGCAAACAGTCAAGTTGGCTCAACTCAACCAAAACTCAATTTTTAATTGCTTGACTGAGCAAAGAATTTTTTCAATCTTGAGTTTTATAATTGGCTTATTATGTAGAAAATAAATTTTTTTTAGCATGCTCAAGTTATAGACCACAATTATATTTGAAAGATTGGATCTTGCCACTCTAGCTTTTAGTCCTAATTCCAGCTCTCCTTCTCTGAAATATCCTTTTTTATTATTATGTTTATGGAATTTCCTGGTATTCATCAATTTGTTGTGCATTTGGTCTTCTATTTTGCCTTGATGCCATGGCATGATTCCTGCCACCTTATAGGTATTACTGGCATGCTCTGCAGCAGATTTTGTCATCAAATTCTTTTGACTGATCATAATGATGAAGTGCTGAAGGCAAGATCACAAAACTAATTTTCAGTGCTAGGTATATATTTGGTAGGTGTTATCTCTAAATTTCATGTTGCCAATCATATGCAGATCCTGAGGAGAAACATAGAGCTGAATACATCTTCTGAAAATCCTAGTTGCAGTGCTGGTGAGAGAAATAAACTTGATTGGAAATGCTCATTTTGGATTAGCTGATGTCCTCTTTTCACATCTTACATGCAGCACTAGATGCTGAGAAGCTAGAGTGGGGAAATTCTGATCACATTAACAGGATTTTGCACAAATATCCTGGAGGTTTTGATTTGATACTTGGTGCTGACATTTATATCCTGATTTCTATTAATTATTCCTTTTCTCAAGCAATGCATAAAATACAAGGAAAAAGATTGAGCTTATGAATGATGAAACTGAGAACAACATAACGCAAAAGCCAGGAATGAGCATGCTCTATCATGATTGTCTAGGTATTGAGCACCGTCTAAACACTATCCTTCCATACAATTATCATAGGATATGACAGTAGTCTGTTTCTTCCTAATAACTTATTAGATACTTGTTTTAATTACTCATCCTCTTGACCAAGTCATTATTTTCTTTCCAGGAATTGAATGACACTCATTTAACTTTATTGTTGCTGGTTTTTCATTGGTTACTTCTATTGTAGTAGAAGTCTGTTTTGTTTTATGGCATAAAAGTAGACCCAACTTTAAATGCTGTTTGGTCATGTGATGGCCTGATTGGACCACTGTAATATATTGCACAAAAAACTGCCATTAAACTTGATAGTGAAAAACTACACTTTTTTCGTTTCATGTGCTTTCATTCCTTCTTAGTAGTTGCTGTTAGACAACTTGAGACGGAAAAACCTGCCCTTGACAATATCCAAGCTTCCAGCAGTCAAGTGTTCCTTTGCTTTTTGATACTGTAGAACAGCTCCTGCGCAACAGGGGATGTGGCCATTGCAAATTCATACTAGCATATGTATCTCGAGCAAAAATGTAAGTCTGTTATATTTTCTTTTTCTTCCTCCATTGTTCCTGACTATATTGATTACAAACCTGTCTACTTCATAATGAAAAAATGACGTTAAAAAGGCTATGAACCTCTGTTCCCTGCTACACTTAAAGCAGTTAACCTTTTATGCATTCCCAAATGTTGATTCTGATTTTTGTTATTGAGAATTGGACAGTCTTCTTAAAGTTTAGGATAAATAATGTGGTTTAGGCAAATTTCAGTTTGATCCATGTTTAAAAGTTTGCCGTTTTATACCATCAGGGTTGTTCCCTCACTTACAGAGGGTTAGACATATTTTTTTATGAAATGGACAACTTACCTCTAAAAAGTACAAATATTTAAGACCTTATTACATATTTGACACCTGTAAGGTAGTCATACGTAAAGAAAAAAAAATGAACAATGTACACCCTGAACTTTCCAAATAATGTACTATGTTAATCCAAATTCTAACACCATTAACTTACCTATATAACTTATTGGGGATACAGCATCTGACTAGTATAATTATGCCATGAATACATCATGTATTAAATAAAAATGGTAAATATTGTGAAAATTTCACATGGATGCAATGTGGATGTCACTTGGCATTCAACCATTGGTCGATCTTGAACAGGAATATTACTGTCCACGTGAAAAGAATATATATATATATATATATGTTTTAATTGGTGTTAGAAGGATGTTGATTGTTTTATGTGATATAAATATGACATGATACTATTGATCAAACGTTACATATATAAGCCCCTTGGCTTAGCGGTGTTAGAATTTGGATTTGGATAAAGATGATACATAGTTTCAAAGTTTAAGGAATATATTGTATTTTTTTTTTTTTTGCTTCAGATATCAATATGTAAATTGTATCAAAATTTAAGTATCAAATGTGTAATTAACTCAAAATTTGAATAAATATAAATAAGATGTTCTTGGATATCAAACATGGTGCTGACTTGTTAACTCTATCCTGCAGTAGTGAAGTTTGAGGATTTCACACTACCTTTAAGATGTTTGAACCTTTACTTGTTTGGGGTTGCCATGTTTATGATTTATAAATTTTAAACCTGAATACCTGATGACTTCTGCCTCGTAGTTTCCAACCTTCTTCTTGCACCCTTTATTCTCAGCCATGGATTTTTCATCTAAGTGATTTATTTATAAATATTACTGGAATAAAAGCTGCCAAAATACACTAGAATTTACCCTTTTTTTATGTTAAACACACTAGAATTTACTATGTTTAACATATTATGATTTTGATCTTTTCTCGGTTTTATTTCTTTTTAATACTTTAGTATGCCTGAAATTCGAGATGATATATTGTTTATGGTGCAAGCATGGTGTCAGTTCTACAAACAATCAGTGTCAAAATGCTGTCCATTTATTCATGTTGGAATCTATATGCAGGATGGATTCAATGGTTATTACAGAAGCTACTCGGCATGGTATGCTGATAAATGAAGTAGCTGGGACACGCTCTGTGGTTGCAAATCTCGAAGGAGTCATCTTTGAGATCACCCTTTGCTAGAGGTGCTGAATATTCACATTGGACAGGAGAATATGTGGAGAAGCTAGTAATATACATGAGGGCAGAACAAAGGAATGATATCTAATGTGAATATGGTTTAACTAGCCGCTAGATGTTTCATTTTTGTATGCAATGCTGCCACAGCAAGATTCTTACTTTATGGGAAAAGGATTTAGATGGTGAGTAGAATTTTGCTTTCAAAATATCTTGTTACTTATATCTAAGTCCTGTCTCTTAAATTTTGAATGCACTTAATTACAATGTTCTTAGGACTGGAAAGAGATGCACTACATTGGATTGAATTGCCTTTTTATATTTGTTGATTCAGAAGCCCCATTAGTCCATTTGGGTACCATGTAATTTTAGTTGTTGGGTTGTTCAGAATTGTTCTGTAACATTTGCCATGGCTGCAGACTTTCAATTCCATGACAAGTATCTTCATGAGTTCAATACTATTCTGGTTGTCCTATGCACTATGGATAATAATTTCCTCTGTGTATGCTGTTTCACGACAGCATGATCTAATTCATCACCCCCACAATCTCCAAAATGGTATTTAACTAGTTTCAATCATGCTTGGTGGGAAAAAGGTCACCGCCCTCCAAGGCAAATCTCATATGCAACTAATCATGGAATTCAGAGCGCTTATAAGAAATACATTCAGCACCAAATTTAATCAACCAAGAGAAATTGCTTCCACATGTATCCTAATTACTAGGATGGAAAATGAAACTATGTTGAAAACTTATGATAACAGGCTAACAGCTAAATTATGATATATCACAGCAACAGTGGAGGAAATATAGATACAAAATTGCACAGTGAAACTGCAAGCAGAATGGATCTGCTTCAAAAATATGCTTTTCATTAAAAAAATTTTAGGTTCCCTAAAATATTCCTTCATATGCTAACTTACAGCGCAATGTACCTTGTAAGGATATTGGTTCCACAAAGATAAAATATACAACTTCGGTCAAGCCAGCTCACTCTCAATAAGTTTATAGACATTAGAGCTCTCTGAATGCAATCCTCAAGCTGCAGTCTATAATCTCCTACTTTCATACCATTAACCATTCAAATTAGCCTTACCAGATGGTTAACAGTTCAAACTGCAGCAATGCAAAGATGAACTGCGGTATAGGAAGTTGGCCACTGGTACAAACTGCCGGCTTCATGGGACCAAATTTTCTATGACAAGTGACGGATCTACCTTCATTCTCAGACCTTTTCCATATGCAGCAATGAGAAGTGCCTCAGCCCGTCCTTAGAAATTCAAAGAGAAAACAGAATTCAATGAGAAAATAATCAAGTTAACAAATGCCACTAAGAGAAGAACTAAAAACGAAATTACGAGACCCTGCTTAAATCAAACTTTGTCTTCTAATCTCAGGTCAAAACACCAAATCTACAATTTGAAAAATCCATTTGCTAAGAAAAGTAAATAACGAGGAGCATGTGATCCATGATGCACACTGCATGAATCACTGAAGATGTTTGGTGGCAGCATATTTATGGTCATCAGTTTTTAGTACTTCCGCAGGCTGCATTTCTTTCAGTTGTTAAATGTTGGGAATGGTCATTCTCAGATTCTATGGTCTCCTTATAGGAAGGCCTTGAAACTACTTAACTTGTTGGTTCCTGCAAACGTTGAAGACTCTGTGAGGATGAGAAAGCAACTGTATCACCTAACTTTATTATCTCCATAATTAGTGTAGGAACAACTTTTAAAAAAAATATACCAGTTCGTAGGTCAAGGCTAAAAGATAGCATAGGCACAGAGGGCTTGCCGAGTAGCATTAACCAACAAGTTGATAAGAGACAGTTTTACACCAGCATTGATTGAGAGCAAGAAGGCAGAAAAAAAGATTCACATAGCCTTAGCTATTGAGGGCTTCTATGCAATTTTTAAGTAACAAATGAGACAAATATCTATTGGAAATAAAGGGGAAAGAAAAAGAATAATCATATGGACTGTAACTGGATCTACAATAAAGCAGATGGAAGGAAACTCTACAGAATGCAATTGGCGATTATATAAAGCTTAAGTGTTAACAGTAATGAATATAGATTAGAATGCTATATTTTGGAAACAGGAACACATACCATGATCCTTTTTCCTTTTCAATAGATCACTCAATGAGGGAAATAAAGTTGATGCAATTCTCCGACTATCATCCTGTCAAAACCCAGAATGATAATAAATAAAGGAAACTTATAAAAATCATAACTGAGGCAGCATTAATAGCTTAAACTAATGCTGTGAAACTTAAGACACTATGCTGCATGCAATGATTGAGACTGATGGCCAAGGAAAGAAAAACTTCAAAAAGTTCGCTTAATTACTTAGACCCACAGGTGCAGCTACTGTGCCGTAAGCACATGCAACAGTCAAGGTGCCACGAATCACCTTCTTACCAAAGGGGAAGGCAAAGGTACATGAGGAATGCTACAGAAAATACCATATTGTTTGAAACTTCCTTCACAAAATTAGAGTCATTAAAATGGCAAAGGTTCATGCAAAAAAGTGTGACTCCAATTTATTGTCCATACATCCTTTATCCAAAGTCAGAGTATAAAGTATGGGGTGTCACATGATGGGCCTCAAATTGTCACCTAGCCTGGTTTTATGGACTCTTCCTTACTGAAGGAATTTTGTAACTGAATTGCATTAATAAAATTTCTTCTAACTTTAAAATAAAAAAAGAAAAAGAAAACAACGTGTCAAGTTCATGAAAAGTTTGAAATTTAAACTCATTTCAGAAGAAGATCCAATTTACTTTGTTTACATCAATTGTTTGCACTTGTTATTAAAATTTCAAAGCATGTACAAGTATAGAGTGATGTTATAAGTATAATACATTACCATCAGCAACCTCCCCTACTGTTTCAGTTGTAAATTTTAAAACTGAGAAACAACTCCACTGCCCATCCACCCCCTTCACCAAAGAAAAAGAAAAGAGAAGGAGATGGGGAAAAAAAGGCTAGAAGTGCAATCAGCTTCACATTTCCAATTCAAAGGCAATATGCAGCAAGTTAAGAAAAATGACTCAACTGATTTTTTGCATGCATCTAAAAAAATTGTAGTTCAGAGAGTGATCACACACACACACACATGATTGCACTCTCTTTTCCTTGCCACATGTCTCTTATCAACCCCAAGTTATTTCACTTCTATGCATACATAAATGCACTGTTTACCTTGTTTATCTCAAATCATAACTAGGTCAACAGGCATGAATCAATCATTACAGAATAACAGTAATATACCAACCTTTGTACAACCAGCTCCAGTGAGTTCAAACCCTTTCTTCCACAACAAAGACGGCACTGGAACCACAGAAAACCCAGAGGCAACCAGTATTCCAATCCATAATCCATACCCAAATCCTCCACTCCACCAACCCTAGATTAAGAAACAAGAAAGTAACTTCAGCAAGACTATTAAAATTTTGCAACAATTGATCGGTCATTTCTTTTCCTAGTGATGAATGTAGGAGAATAAGGATGTACAGATGCTTTCCCAACTATGTAAAAGAAAGTTCACAAAGGGACACTGCAACAGCTAGAGTGTGATTTTCACTTGAAGGTCTCAGGTTTGATTTTTGGAAGGGGGAGGCCGGGATTTGTGGGATGGGAAAGGGCTACCTCCCTTTCTGTAGTTCAAGATCAACTCGATAGGTTTCCATAAGTACCAAAAATAAAAATAATTAAACAACATTTAAGCCAATAGAATTTGCAAGAGGAAACAGAGAATGTTTAGATGGGACAGAGATAGCACCAACAGATAACCTAAGGTAACAAATTAGAGTTGCGAGAAAAATGGACAAATAACAGCAATTATGATGATGATGACGACGGAGCCAGGAATGATAAGAGAATGATTGGAAAGGTCGAACAAAATTCCATTGTTTGGTAACAATGCTGACCTGTTTCCCATCTTTTGGATAGGGGATAGATTGCTCTATATATGCAGCAGTACCTGAAGAAAGGCAAGCCCAATCAATGCAGAAGTAAAAGTGGAGTTGAAAAATAAAATTTCAACCTTGTATCTATAAACACTACCAAATCATGACCATACAAAGATAGCAAAAAGAATCAGTAAACATAAGCCAGGCCTCCAGTTCACTTATTCTCCATGGTTGAACCACACATTGGAAAAATTCAAAGAAAGAGAGAGCCAGGGAAGCATACCAATTGGAGCCTCTAAACTTCGAACCAACTGAACAATAGACCTGGCATCTAAACGTTTCCGAACTTTGTTCCCAACTCGAACAGGCAAGTGCGGCGAATCAAATACCTAAAACGTTGGATGAAAAAACCAAATATCATACACAATTTAACAAAAAAATTAATGCCCAACCAATTGCAAAATGTTTATAACGCAATTAATTAATTCATTCCAATTTTAGAATACCTTGAAGAATAGAAAAAGATAATATTTTTAAAAAACTGATACTTTAAACTGTTAGCGAAATGTACCTGGGCGGAGCAACCGGAAGAGTCAGTTCTCAAGAGAGCCAAGGCACCAGAGAGGTCAGGGTCAATACCAATGACCCAATTGGAATCCGCATTACTCCGGGTCGGATCCTCTCCGCTGTCAGGCAAAGGGCAAGACAGAGAGTCCAACCAACTCTCCTTCAGAGCAACAGCAGCAGCATCAGCAGCAGAGAGCTTGACGCTGTTCGTTGCAAAAACTCTTCTTGTTGTTGATGATGGTTGGTGGTGTGGGTTCAGAGAAAGAGAGAGTGAGTAGAAAGGTACAAGTTTAGAAGAGGAAGAAGAAAGAAGGGGTTTTAGCTTGGAGGAGAGTGAGTTCATGTAATGGGCTTGAGGGAGGTTCAGTAACTGTGTTTCCATGGAAGATTCATTTAATTTCTCCCATTCTATACTAGTAATTCCTGCTTTGGCTTACACCCGGGAAAATAAATTTTTGTTTTGCAAGGATATGGTTCCCCCCAATCGAACGGCTTTGAAGCCTTGCTACTTTTTTTCCATTTGATTTGATTAATAAAATTTAAATAAAAATTTTATTTTTTATTATATTTAATTAATTTTTTGAATTTTATTTTAAACTAAATAGATATTTACAACTAATTATTGATTAATTATTTTTACCAAAATATCTCATTTTACATCTATTTGCTGTGAAAAATAAAAATGATAAATAATAATGTTATCATATTACATTAATATGTCACATTATTATTTATTATATCACATTAATTTTATATAATATAAAATTATAAATAATATTTTTATTAATAATAATTAATTATAAATGAATTTAATATAAAATAAAATTATAAAGATTTAATAAAACGTAATTAAAAAATTATTTAAAATTTTTTAAATAATTTAAATTTTTTAAAAATATTATCTTGTTTGAAGAACAAAATTGAGCTTACTTGATTTTAATTAAAAAGCAAAATCAAAATTCAATTTAATTTTCTTTAAAAAACTAAATCGTATTAAATTGAATTTTTCACCATTCTTTCAAGCCACCAGTAGCACAAATTTAACGATTTGATTCGGCTTTTCTATTTTCTTGTCACACGTTACATTAGAGCAATTGAGTATCAATTTCTATATTTTAATTTTTAACGTATTGAAAATTCGATTTAATAATTATTATTTCTATTTTAAAAATTTTAAAATTCAAGATTTGAATTTTCACTTTATAATAAAACGTTCTTACATTTATCAAAGTAAAAATATGCATACACACATTTAAGACAATTATAATATGCTTTACAATTAATATAACACATTTTTATTATTTATTTTATGAGAATTTCTAATGATTTACCGCATAAGAGTTTGTTTATGTTTGAAACTAACTAATAAGATCCAACAACACTTGAACATTTAATTTATTAAATAATTTTTTAAAAAAAACAGAAAAAAAAATTTCTTTCTTCAAATTTGAAAAAAAAAACTAACACGATCCAACAACTAACAGTGAGTTATATTTATTATTAAAATTTATGCAATATTCAGCACCATATTCATAATTTGCTCATGGAATATGTCACGAGCAGGTTTTGAGGTTGACTGACATGGAAATGTCTGGATTATTATTAATTGCAAATTATGAAGCTCAGCTCCGTGACTCAAGTGGTAGGATATGTTTGATTTCCTTCGGCAATCATTTAGCGTGAATGATACCTAAGATCTAAATCAAGACAAAACTACTTGTTTTCTACTCAGCTTTTATAAATTGTTTACAAATTACAAAGCCAGGTATCTTCAGGCAGCCGTACATGCTACGAGACAACAATTGTATAGACAAATGCCTGGTCTCGGATCATTCGCAAAACCACAAGGCCTGGCGTGGTTGTTTACAATTTTATTAAGACACGATGATAAACTGTTAGTCATGCTTACAACATCTTGACAATAAACAAGTTTCGCACTTTTGAATGTAATCTTGAGTACTTGTGGTAAGTTGTTGGTAGCAGAGAGCTAGCTAGGGACATGAACCCGTAATTTCTTCTCGGTATCATACTTGTAGCTGGCTAGTTTTAAGCTTTGAAGAATAATTTGGAAGCTGTTGACCGAGGTTTTAATATATACATGCATGTCACTGTGGGGTTCCCTTCAATTCAGGAGCGAGAATTCGGGTCTGTTTTCAGAATCTATAATCCAAAGCTAGCCGACGATCTTGATAGTTGAATTGATGGCCAGCCTAGACTTTTGCAGCACAAAGGAAACTATGAGCATGAAACCTCAAACGCCCAATGATCCTTTCTATATGAGTGCTCCGGCGAGCCCGAGGAGAATCAGCTTGGAAGGTTTGTGTTTCTATAGTGTCCCAACTAGTCCCACTAGGAACACCCTGAAGGCTGCATATGATCTCGACACTGAGCCAACGACACCAAGAACTTTTGAAGACTCAAATTCCATTATTGATGAATTCGAGTTTGAAACTGGGAGTCGTTTCAATGTTGACGAATATGGATTCGAATCAGAGCCAAAGTCCGAGTCCAAATTGGAGGATCCACATAAGAACCATGGTCGTAAGGAATCACTTCCTGCCATGGCGTTCGCTGATGAACTATTTTCTGGTGGGAAAGTCCTGCCACTGAAGCCTCCGCCGCGACTTCAATGTGCCAATGACAACAAGTATGATAAACAAAGCTCGACTTTGTCATCTCCCAGGTCGCCAACTGGTGTCCTAAAACTTCCATTTCAACGTAGGAGCTTGTGGAATGATGATTTTGATCCCTTCATGGTAGCTTTGGAGAACGTCAAGGAAGAAATAGTTGAGAAATCGCAAGCGAAAAATCGTAGACGGGCTCGGTCCATGTCACCATTTAGGGAGATAAGCCGCAAGGGAACCTATGACTCATCAGGCTCGAGCCAGCAGCAAATCAATGAGTTGGGTCTCATATTACCAACGCAACAATCAGAGCCCAACTTGAACAAGAGGATGGAGAGCAATGAATCAGCCTTTTTGATGTGGGTTCCAGACCAAAACAGGCAAGTGGGTCTTCAAGAACAGGTGAAACAAGCAAAGAAAACCCCAATAAAGTTGGCAGAGCCCAAAGGGGTTCTTTTTGCAAGGAGAGCAAGGCTTGTTAAAGTGGGCCATGAAAAACCGAGAAAGACCAATGTGATCACTCCAACAGTGGAAGAAGGAGAAAGTGCAAGCGCAAGTGGAGAAGCTTGTACAATGGAAAGCAAGAGCCAGAAATTCAAGAAATTCCTTTTCAGGAGTGGATCCGTGAGAAAAATAAGCAACGAGGAGAAGCCTAAAAGTTCATATGCAACAGAGTCAAAGACTAATATTAAAAGGAAATTTAGCTTTAAGTCCATGGGATTAACCCAATACAATGAGGAAAAGGGTGTGTCTCGAGTGACCAGAATGACACTCGTACAATATAGACCTAAGTTGTTGCTTTGTATGGGCTATGGGGCTAAGTATGTGCAGTAAAAGGTGCCACCAATCTTTACTTTTGTTTTTGTTTAGACATTGTGTTTATAATTTGCCGAAAAACAAAACAGCCCCTAGATGTTTGGGTGAGTCTATGTTGTATGGAAAATGGTGATTAATCTCTTGATCTTCTTGTAAAGCCTGGTAAGCTAGCTGCTGGCTCCGTTATACGAGAGCTAACCTGGTCATGCTCAAGATTTCTTTAAAAGGATGATAATTACCTCATATGACTTAAACTTAACACTTGGGTTATCTATTAAAAGAAACTTGTTTGCATCTTGTACCCTAGCTTGTTAATATGGAATTACTTTTAATTTGCTTATTCCTTAAAGTTGAGTGTATGTCATGTATGCAAGTGCACGAAGGAGAAAGAGAGAGAGAGAGAGACAAAAGCAAATTCTCTTGCTTTCTTCATATTGTTCAGTTAGTCATAATGCTCCAACAAAATTATAAGGCTGGAAACAAAGGATAATTTACAATTCCAAAGCTCTACAGGGTATATGATGTTTGCATAAAGTTGCCATTCTCTATTCCTCGAATAATCAATGGGCTCCCAAATGATTATCGACAAAAAACCTTTACATAATCGTGGGACATGCCAATAAATAAGGGGATTTTACATGAACATTGAACTTTAACTCCACATTCTTGCAACTTCGAAGTCGATTTTCAATTTCCAGGAGCACCATTTATAGAGCAGAAACCTGATAAGCTTTGCCTAGTTGGAAGGAAAATAGGCCATTTGTATTGAAATCGCGGTGACATTAGCAAGCATTTGTCTGCACAAGGCTATTCCAGGATTTCAGCTGGCCAGAGCCGCTTCCATGTAGTAATCTCCTCCTCACTGCTAAGTTTTCTGATTCCCCCATAGAATCCATCTGCCTCATTTCCCTCCTCTCGATGGTCTTTCCTATCGATTGATGTGCGTCTCCACCTTGAGCCAGGGGTGTAATGATTGAACTCCAACACTACTGTGTCTGCAAGCATCACTTGGATGTTAGAACCAGGCAATAACACTCGAACATCAATTATGATGCAGGATTTAACACTGTACGTTCAACTGAATAGCAATAATTGAAGCTTTTATCTGAATACCATTACAGTAATACACTGCCTGTGAGAACCACATCTTTCATTTTTCCAGTTAGTTCCACCATAAATACTGCGAGTAAACAATGAATAAAGAAAATTTCTTGAAATCTCAAAACTGCGATATACAATAATGCACGAAACAAATTATCCAAAAGAATAAAAAAGATGACGGACAACACAAATCAACTTCGTCTTTTGAAAAAAGATGTAGCTTTTGGACTGAAATGAATGAAGGCCTTTACCCTGTCTAAAATTGACTTCAAACAACTGCACGATCATAAAAGCTAGAAGCTTTTACAATTATACACTGAGGCATTTTTGTCTGCTTAAAGTATATTTATCTATTTATTGCAACAAATGTGCTGTTTCTGCTTTCTCAAGTTGCAAATGATTACCCAACGAGATTCTTTCCTTCTTTTACGGTGATGGAGAAAGGATAAGGGAATTGGTGCTGATGTAAGTTCACTAGTGGGGCATTTGAGCTCTGTGGTTTGTGAACTTGTGATAAAAGACAGAAAATAAATGAAAAGTAGGAAGTGTAGAACAACAATTGCCGCCCCACATAGCCGAAAGATTCCAAATAAGCACAAACAGAGGCCATAGGAAACACAGGGTTCTCTCAGTGTGGTTGGCCATAAATATTCTGCTGAGACAGAAGATATCACAATGCTGGTGGAAATTATGACATGCTGACAGTGATTTGTCTTGGGGACCAACCCAACAGCACAACCTAGGCCCATGTATTGGAAAAATGGGATTCATGACAACGACCAATCCCAAACTGCGTGTCATCCATGAAAGTTAACTTTATATTCATCTCATCCACAATTTGTTCATGTCTTATTTTAAGAATATTCAACCTAAATAGCAAAATTTGAAACTCCCTTGGTCCTTCTCTCTCTCTCTCTCTCTCTCTCTCTCTCTCTCTCTTCAAAACCGGGTGGATTTTTCTCTCTTGTATTGTCAGCTTAGGTACATATGCCCCTTGGAGTTGTTTAGAAGGCAGATAAAATGGGATGCTTGCAGTATGAAAGCAATATTTCCAGAGACAATTAGTTGCTAGATTCCCATTTCTAGGCAATCCAATGGAAGAGTACCATTTCAAACAAGAAAAGATGAGATCAACTTACCACTATTATGACAACGGCAATAATTTTCATTCCCATCACATGACTCCAAGTGACCAACCACACCATACCACCAACCTGCAACATATATGGTAATCTTATCAGCAATAAAATCATTATAAAATGATTAATATAAATTATTTAATATTCACCTGATGGCATACCCATTACATTAAACTATTAGTAGAAAAATGATATCAACAATACTTGATTAAGAATTCCTTTTATAACAAGTTGCCTGCTGCTGCTTAATTCTTGTACTATAATTAAAAGCTTTCCTCAACCCATCAGAGAAGTTGAGATGATACTTTTCAAAAAAAAGAAAAAAAAAGTTGAGATGATATTCGGTGTAACCAGCTTTTTGTGACAGTCAATAATGGTATCACTAAGGTTGAACAGGTCTTCTTCAATGGAAATATATATATGCGAACTCATCTTTCTGGGCACTGCACCAGATCTTTCCTGGAAGTACGAAACGCTGCTCTTTTTTTTTTTTTTTTTCTTTCAACTTAAACCAACCTAAAATTCCTCAGGAAAATTTTGGAAATGAATTTAACGAGCCCCCACGGGATAGGATTCCAAGTAACTTTAGAGTAAGACAAAACAAAACAAACTTATCAAATACTGCAAGAAATTGATATGAAGAACTAACCATAAGGGAATTCTTTGTTTCTTCTCCATTGAATCTCAATGTTATCACCTGGGCGTAGCTCATTCAAACAATCAGAAATATGAAGATCGTGTGGTGAAGTATCAATAGGTGGTGCTCTTAGCCTTTCCCACGGCACACAGTTCTCTATGGCCATGGCCCTCCTTCCATGTGGAGGGTACCTAAAATTATCAAACCAATCTAATGTCAATCACCAGATTAATATCCAACCATTAGGCGTATTTCGATCCTCTGAAGAAGAACCTACTTTCATCTTCCAGGACACAGTATGAGAAAGTTTCAAAACCAAAATACCACCATCAAAATTATGGCCATCTCCCAAATTACCTGGCTTGGAAAGTGTCAGTACGGGGATCATATCTGAGCTCCGCATCATAGCATGACAACATAAAGCCAACATGGCCATTCTGCAAAACAGCAGGACAAAGAATTTCGAATCAAAACAAAATTAGAATAAACAGCACAGAATCTGCTGATTAAATTGGAACTAGCATAAATGTATAGCTGATTTAACAGCTGGGAATTTGGAGTTTCAGAATCAATACCTCACGATTATAGACCTGAGCAGGGAACCAGAATCTGCCAGTTTCAAGAGCAAGATACCAACACATGATTGAATCATCTGGCAAAGAACTCTGCTTACTACTATCATCAACCTTTGATTTAACCCACCAAAATGGCCTAACAATTGATAAAATCCTCATCAAACCTTTTGGCTTCCCCTGTTTTACATGACTTGAATCCTTTCTTGAAGCAGTATGCCATTGCCACTCTCTATAAGCCGCAGGACCAATAACTCTACCCCACTTCTTTTTCAAATGCTTTACCCAGAAATGATCACTAATACACCTACTTCTCAAAGAGCAGCAAACACCTGCCATACTACAGAGACCAGCAGGTGGTAGCCTTTCAAGAATGCATTCTAAGACCAATTCTGGTAAGTCCAAAACTGACATCACCACTTCTTCAACCTCCTCAAAGTTATCAACTTTTGAAGTAAAAGACATCTTTTTTAGAGACATTTTGGAAGGGATTGTGGTAAAATAACTAAGACTAAGACTATTTTTTATCGACTTGAAAATGGAAAAAAAGGGTACTTCTCTCCAGAACCAGAGAGACAATAATCTCATCTCAGTTGCCCATGCTGGGAGTGGCTTCAAAGTTAAGGACTTCAAAAAGAAGATGAAGGGAAAACAAGTGATGAAGAAGTAAAGTAGCATTCCAAAATATAGAAAAAAGGTGAACTCTTTCTATGGGTCCAAATTCAATTATATAAGGCAAAAGGAAAAAAAAAATCAATGGAAGAACCCAATTGTCTCTCCTCTTCCCTCACCCTTCCCTTCAAAAACAAAGTGGGATCTTCAACAGAACAACAGGAATACCCAACTTTGATGAAAAACAAAGGGGGTTTTATTGGTTAATATGAAAGCCCACCAAACCCCAGAGGTGGGCCTCCCTTGTCAAGTTCTTATCAGAATAAAGATTAGTAATATAAGAAGAAAAAAAATAGTCTTTTTCTTTTTTAACAAAATTTGACAACAAAAAATTACCTCAATCAACCCTAAGACCTAAAAGAAAGCTAACAAAGCTTCTCTTCCCTTTTTTTTCTACAAGAAAAGAACTCAACCGTACAGACAACCTAAACAGCTGTCATGTAATAAGAAGGAGGTTTAGTGGATACACCCAGAAACAGGTAGATGAAGGAAGATGGTGGTGGGGTTACTGAGATCTGATATGGGTTTCTGACAACTGGAAATTATACCCTCAAAGAATATTTATTGAAGATAACAAGTCTAGATACAAAGACCCATATCCATATAATCTCTGAAAAACCTTTCCTTTGTTTAGGTACAAAACAAAAACATAAACACTAAAAAACCTTTTCTTTTTCTTTCGAAAATAATAAGGTGAGAAAGAAAACAAACAACAAATCTGAGTTAGTTGGGATTGAATGAAAAGACACCCGAACCAAAGGAAAGAGATTGAGAAATTTGATGAAGAAGTTGATGAATTCACCTTAGTTCATCAAATTTCTCTCATCTCCTTTTCTTCTTTTTGTTTTCTTTGGGTAGAAGAAAATAGGGTGCGTAGGGATGGCTACAGGAAGACAAAGAATGGGCGGTTAAGGTTAAAGGGAGAGATATTTATTTGTGTGGATATTAAGAAGAATAATAGAGAAGTTGCATAATTTTTATGTTGCTAGCATTATTAAAAAAGATTTTGGCTTTGCCTGTGTCTTGATCATGAGCTTTCAACAAGTTTGAGGAAAATCCGTGTAGCCAGAAAAAGCAACCGCTAGGATAACGTATGAAAGGAATCATTGATATTATTATAGCGGTGAAAAGGTTTGGGATATGTTCCAGTAGGCCATCTGCCTATTCAGTTTAAGTACTTCGAGCCATTGATTTAACACAACCTGGCAGTAAGGATTGGAGGATGGTGACCCCATGACAATTCAATTCCCACACAATATCACTCAAGTTGATTTAATTGGATTACTATCAACTTTTGCTTCCTTTCAACCTAGGCCGTTAATGCCTGCTCTACTCTTCTTTTTCTTGGAAGGCAGACGGCAACCTCTATTACTCATTTATTATAGTAATAATTAATTACCACTAGTTTGATATAGTTTTTTAACCTTGTTCCCAATTTAAGAAGTTGATTCAGAGCTCATTAATTAGCAGGTTAAACACCTTAATTGTGAATAGCCTAATTTACAATATTTTTAACAAAATTTCCCTTAAATACTTTTTTTAAATCTAAAAATTTATTGGGTTTTAAACTGTATAATAAAAACTAACTCTTAATCATTTTATTAAATCTTTTTATTCAATTACAAGGATCGAACATCTTAATGTAAACTTCAAATTAAAAAACTTTTGTCAATGTAACAAATTTATCAATTGAAATTTTATATAAATGAGAGTTGAGGCCCTTCATTATTTTAATCAAAATTTTGTGACTTGTGACACAAAAAAAAGTTAAAACATCGAATAAATGTCATCTTTAGAGATTTTCACGAGTGGAGTTACTTGTTCGAAACTCGGGGGCCCAACTTGTCATGAACAGGACTTGAATATAGAATTTTAAGCTTGATTTCGATATTATTCAATTATCTTATTTATTTAATTAATATATATATTTTTGCTAAGAAGGCAAATAAGTAGCACATGAGTAATTGAGTTAGCAACTAATTCTGATTAATTATATTTTCCACATGGTTTAAACTCTTGCATTCCTGACTTACATCACACAACGGGGCTGCATCAAATTATTTTTAATTTTAAGCTGAGCGGCGCCGGGCACGGACCAATGATGAGGGTCAGAAATCAAACAAGGTTAGGCCTAGGGTGCGGTCAAGTGGCACTGGGAACTGGGAAAGCACAGTTGAGTCCGCCAATGAGAGCGAACTTTGTATCACTGGCTGGTGGGCTAACATGTGACTTGCACCTGCATGTTGCTTTTCGATCTCCAAAAGAAAGGGAGTTCCAATTTCGAAGGTAATATAATAAATGTTTTTTTAATGTTTCTTTCTATCGATCTGAACGGCATAAGGGCAAAAATATTTTTCACTTTCAATTATAGTCCAAGCAAAATTGTTACAAAAATATTAGACACTTTGAAAAATTTTGATGAATTTAATTACATGTACATATTTTAAATAGAATGCGTGTGTATTGACTAAGACATAAATTTTTTAATTACTATTAAAATTGAAAAAAAATCGATTTAGAAACTTCCACTTATTGATTTTTTTTATTCTTAATTTACAAGTAATTTCGGGTTTGGACCCTAACAATCCTTAGATTGCTGCCCTTTAAATCATTTTTTCTTTTTTGGTTTCTTAATGTTGACTGCTTCATCTGATTTTATAGGAGTTGATTATGGGTTTTTGTTCAACTCAATATTAAAAGAGTTGACCTCAAGATTAGAGAAAAGGGTGAAAAAAGGCCTCAAAACTAAGAAAGAGCTGGAACAAAGCTGGACATGAAAAGTAAAAAATCAATCCACACACGAGGCCAAATCCAACCGACAAATTTGGACGAAAGTAAATTTGTAGTAATAATAGTAACTCTTTTGGTTGGTTTGGCAGTGGCAGCTTTGTCAAGCCTTGATAACGTTTGTTTGATGCATGTATCAACAAGGAGTTGAAAAAGAGTCCGATTAGAATTACAACAAGGTTAGAATATATCAATTTAGGTTGATTTAATTGGTTAAACGGTTTTAAGTTTGAATGTTACAATTTAATGAAAGAATTATAAGATTGGTGGATACAGTTGGTTTTGGCCAATGACAACACATGCTTGATTACTCTTTCTGCAACAAACTGACAAAAATAAAAATAGATAATCATTGGACTGAAGGAATTTGGATCTCAAATGTTGATTATTGAGAATGGAGGTCAATAATGGTGGGTTGGGAAGTAGATAAGGTCCTTCGGCCTACTCCATGACTGGTTCAAGGAAGGAGGTCCTAACATTTTCATTGGTTGGTGTAGTGAGGCAACGTGTATCCAAATCAAATTATTTTGTGACTTTTTTATATTAAAAAAAATCCTCCTAATAAGCAATCACTTGAGACACCAAAACTATGGCTGCAAAAGTCATGATAGGTAAAGAAGTATATATAATTTATTTATTTATTTGTTGATATCATATGGGGGGAATCGGAATGGTGGGGTGGGAAATAAAAAGATTTTGAGACCAACAACTTTTTGGGAAATTGGCATTTGTCAATTGTCATACACAGAAAACTAAATGAATCTTATCTTAATGTATTATGCTTTGTCTAACATTATACATATAAAGCCATATTTGATTGGGGGTAATCCATCTGCACTTTACTCTGTTAATTCGGAATCATTGCTATAGAGTGGTAATTGATTGTTAAATGGCCTAAATTCAAAAGACAGAAATAATAGCATAATGTGTAGATATTACAAATTTTAAAGGTTAAGATTTAATGTCTCATTTTCACACTATTTGAGTTAATATATATATATATATATATAGATTTACATTTTAGCATTTTTCATTCCAAATATTATCCATATTGTTGCAATAAGTAAACCACATACCTAGCGAGCCAAATGCTATCTTTAAGAAGAGACTTGAATTTCCCCTTATCTTGATCGGTGGTCTTAAGCTTTGCTCCAGCATATTAGGACCAAATATGAGATATCAACATGGTTTGGTGTTGTAAAATGTGGGTGTATTAAAAGTTTTTTTAAAAAAAATCAATAGAAATGGCTTGAAGGTGAGCTATAAAATGTCGCTCTGTTTGTTTAAGTTTATTTCTCCCATTAATTATAGAGTACAAGAAGTTTAATCAAGTACCCTCAGTACGCAGTGAAACTTTATTTGACTACATCTGCACTAATGAAAACAAATCACTTTCATTTTTTAACGAAAGGCGAAATTATCAGTCTTATACAAGATTTTCTGCAAGCAAGCAGCATATTAGGGATGATTTAAATTTTTAGAGATTGTTCTATGATAAAGTGCTTTGAAAAGGTTTTTACCTTGGTTATTTATGTTGGGAATGACATAATCAGATTAAACGTAGTAGAATGAAACAAAAAAGTTATAAACGAATAATAAAAACATTCAATACTTATCATAGATCTCTTTGATGGTTTTAATACAAACAAAACTAAAAGAGAGGAATAATCATAAAAATAAAATCACCTCTACTAAGTGATGTGGCTATCACAATGATACCTCTTCCTTGTTTTAATATGTGGACATTATAATGGGAGTAAAGAACCTGAGCCACTCAAATGCTTGGCCTCTAAGAATTGCACACATGATTGCACTTGAACTTTCATAAGGAGGGAGCTTTCTCAAATATGCCTTTATGCTAGTAAGCTGGACAACAACTTATCCTCTCCATACAATCACACTCTTTCTAGTCGAAACAAAAAGTTGGAAAACTATTTTTTCAAGTTACTCAAGAAAGTGTGTGGCTACGTTTTTTTTGTTAGTTTTCTAAAAACTCAAAAAACCTAACTTTTGCGTTTTACTTGTATAATGAGGAGTAGTTGAAAAGTGATATTTATATCTAAGCCAATTAACTTTTTAATTGTAAATAAAGCCTCACTATTGCAACCCTTTATAATATTGATCTAACATTTAATTAAACTTTTTTAATTAAGTCATTATAAATTAAAGTTAAAATAAATTTACTTTATTTGTTTGCAATTAAGGCTTTAATATTATAATTAATTATAACATTGGCCTTATACTTAATTAAACTATTTTAATTAAGTCTTTGTAAGTTAAAAACCTAATTTATAATTTAAGTCCAACTTAATCATCACACTCCCAATTTAATTCATAATGAACTTATTTTGTGTGACCCATCAGGTTCTTAGCATGTTGATAATGGAATTAAATTATAATTTTTATTAAATTAATTAATTCAATTCTATAGACCAAAATTGACATCTAGCAATGCATCATGACCACTCAATTGTTAGAAGAGTCAAAAGGTTCTTTGACAATCTTTCATTATACAATCTGTTAGTGTAATTTATTCTCTCATCATATATCCCAGAAATGATAAAAAGCATGGTATAGTGTTACTCTTATTGATCTTCATATTTGTTTTTAAAGTTAGATTATTAGTTTTATAGAAACTTATGAAACCCATTTTTATAATTTCCAAGTCACCTTGGTAAGTACTTCAACAAGTTAATATTAACTAAGAATTATTAAGAAATGTCTCATAAATCACTTAGGGTGATGATCCTTTATTGACTACTCATTTACTTTCACATGCTTCATCATACAACCAACCATGTTTTATTTTGGCATCTTTAGTAAAACTTATAGGGATATGATCAAATACATAGCACTCCGCATATAATACAATTTGGTGTTTCAAGTCTAAAAAGTATTTATACAACTAACATATGAGAAATATTTGCATAGACACTACAGTAAGATACTAAATGCATTTCTCATGCAGGGTCATGTTCAGTGAACTTGTACATAGAATAATCATCTACATTCTAGTTTCAAGTATCTTTGTACTTCAATCTATGAAATCAGTTATTTACTTCCCAATAAGAAACATAGAATGCACTAGTCTCTAAGAATCATTAATGTCTAGTCTCAATGATACATCGACCAAGAGCATTTAGAGATTATATTTTGATGCATAGGAATTTCATAATTGTAACATATTACAAATTTTTTGCAAAGCATATCAATCTCATGGACTTCATCTAATAGACTTATAACCTTTATAATTGATGCCTTACTAATGAATGAAAACCTTTAATCATTCAATATGGGATAATATGATTGCATGTTTGGAACTAAATCTTGACCAATCTCAATTGACTTTAAGGCTCATTCTAATAGTTTTTTTTATATAAATTTTCTCCAAGAGACACATCTCTTTTGTTACCCTTTATCAAAGAAAGATGACCTTTAGAAAAGGTTTAAATACTTACAAATAGGATTATTCATTATAGATTAAAATTTCAATTTCTACCTAGTTAATCATCTAATTTATGAGCACTTAGGTATTTGGCTTATTGGTTGATGCATGATCCCTTACCTAGAGAGTATGGTTTGAATCCCCTCTCCTCCAATTAAAAGAAAAAATCATCTAATTTATGAAGTTAGTTTGACCAAAATCACTCTAATAGTAAATTCGTAGATTTGAATTTGGGCTTTTTGTCTATTAACATATTGAACATATCTTTGTTTCACTTATTTCTATTATTATTGAATATTGATTGACTAATCTTACGACTTAACCAATTAACCTTACCTTTCTTTTGTTTCATTCTGAAACTTTCCCAATAATCTACCATCATTTTTAAAATAAAATATCCAATAATTTTAAAAGTCTTATGCATAAATGAATTTCGATTTAAAATCTCCATCTTAGTGAAAGTGTTTTCGAACTAATCAAAATTTTATGGTAAACTTTAAATCTCTGAATTAACAATTTTATATAATTGGTTGTGCATTAATCACAAAGTAAAATTTCAAAACTCATCAAAAAATAATTTAGAATCCACTAACAGTATTCCTCGACCATGTGTCATGTATCTTTTTTATTAGTTCCATAAGAATCAATTGCCCTTTAACATCTAGAAGTGACATCACTTCCACTCTTATAGGTGAATTCCATAGGAAGTGCCCTAGGAACAAGCACTTCAGCATATTTTATTATTGTTATGGGTTCGTTAAGAATATTATACTTAACTTTCTTTTCTATGCAGATGGGTATCAAGGACTAAAACTTTACATCCGAGATG